GGGCAATCCAAGCCAGGACTGCTTTGCAAGCGGGGCACCCCTGAGAACTGTCTTTCCGGGGTGGGGGTCGGGACGCTTTAAGCACAGCCCTCGGCTAGCCTGAGAAAGCATCTCCACGCTCTAAGTTCTTCTCTGATGCCCTGCCGGCACTGCTTCCGGCCATCCTTAAGCCCGGTTCAGGGTCCACTTAATGTGGACATGCTAGTTCGAATTAGCAAAACGCTAATTCGAAATAGTTTTTAGTTCTAGATGTGTTAGTTCGAATTAGCTTAGTTCGAATTGACTAATTCGAACTAAGATTAGCTTAGTTCGAATTAACTAATTCGAACTAAGTTAGTTCGAATTAACGTTGTAGTGTAGACATACCCATAGTTCTTAGACAAAGCTCCAATTCAACCTAATGGCTTTAATATGTGTTTTGACTGGGTGAGGATGACAAGGTTTGATCCTTAGTGAGTTATTTCAAACAATATTTAAACACGTGAAAGACCGCTTTTTAAGAAGTAGTTAGCACTTAATAGTTCTTATTAAGCTGAAATGAAGTAGCCAGACTTTCAAAAATAATCAGTATTGTTGTTGAAAACAGGATATGTTGGTTACTGAGCACTTTGGGAAAAGTTGGCCTGCTATACACCTTTTTCTAATTTCATTAAGATCTGTTCATCACACAAAAGGGAATGATGAGTGGATTTCCTTTTTTCCTTTATTTGGTCTTGCAGTAAAATCACACTGAGGACGGTAGGATATTATCTTATCTTGGCAACTGGCTGATCCTATAGCCACTACACTACTTCAAAATACAAATACCTTCAACAGTAACAACAGCAGCAGTGCAGAGAGATACAATAAGTGCCAGCAAAGGTGAATATTTTTGTATAGTTTCTGTTTGCCCCCAGCCAAGTCCTTCATTAAAAATAAGGGCAGGAATTTCTTTACAAAAGATACAAACCTCCTGGAGAGGCAGTTTCATATTGTGAGTCATTAATGAGCCTAATCTTTCCTCCTTTGCTAGCAAATATAGGAGAATTGGTCTTTGTTTGATTTTTAATTTTAAGCTTGACTTACAATTTTAGTATCCACTCAAACAGTTGAAACCTATTTTGCTTCAGGCCACATTTTGCATTTTATTTCAGTAAAATATCTGTGCTGACATGGCATAGAAAACTGCACTTGATAAAGATACATTGTCCTCCACTCACTTCTCTTGATTAAATTAAAAGGTAGATCTAAAATGATTTGCCTTAGGAATAATCTGCAGTATAGGCATTAAGACATCTCAGTCTATGAAAGCACAATGTGCTAGAGGGTTTGCTTTATATCTGTTATATTGAAATCCCAATCACCGCATATTTCCTCAAGGTATGTGTACGTGACATTTAAAATTTTACATCTGCCAACTAAGAAAAAAAAGAAAAAGAAAAAAACAAAACAATCAAACACAATAACCAGAGTTTCATTCTTGCAGGCTGGGGCATGGCAGGTTTGCAACTTTAAACTTTAGAAATATGACTGGTTATTGTTGCTAATACAGATGATATATTGTGGATGTCTCTATATTTTAACCACAGTAGCAATTACTCCCCTCCTTTCATTTTTGCTGCCAACCTTCTCAAAGGAACTGGGTTCCAGATTTTCAAAGACCAAATTCACCAAATTATACATTGCTTCTGCTGTATTTCTAACTATGATACACATTTTGCTAAGTTTTAAGATCTGATTTACACCTATACATTATAATGCAGTAATGTTCTGCCCACAGCAGTTGCATGAAAGTGTTCTCATAGGACATACCAGTTCAAATCACTATAGAGATTTTGAATTAAAGTGTTCTGAAGATTAATTGTTAATCCATGGTCTTAATTTATTAAATTACTGATCTGTTTAAATGCTTACAATAGCTAAACACAATATCAAAATATGCAGCACCTGGAGATTCATTATGGTTAGATTCTCAGATAAGATGGCACACTATTTGCTGAAGGGGGGCCCTCTCATCCATATCATCATTGGTTCTAAACTGTTTTTTATCACATTATCATCACCACCTCCACTAGACTAAGACACAGGATTTTGTTCTTGCATTACAATACTCATTTTGTATCTGCCATGGGTGCAGCTCCTATTGACTTCATTGGGAATTACACCTGTGGGGGCAGAACAGGGTCCAAAAGAGAGAGGACAAGGTTACCAACACTATAGATGATGGATCTGTAGACTAAAGGGTCAGAGTTCTGTAGAAATGGGGAGAGATTTAACTCTTTTGTTTAAAACATACAAAGCAGAGGACACAAAACAGGCAATTTAAGTCTATGGTTACATTCTTGCAAGAGCTACAGATATGAGAATGTCTTTATTTTTTTCCTTTAGGAATTTTTAGGCATAAAGAAGATCATTGTTATAAAAATACCTGAATATGCTGCTGGGCCAAAATACTGTCATTTTCATCCAGAAAATCAGTTTTTTCCCAGAGAAACACACAACAGTGCAGGGTCATTTAAGAGGCCATATTGTGGAAATATGTCTACAAGAAAAAGATGGGATGTGGGAACAAACACTCTCCTACCCAAGAGGACTTTAGGGGAAAAAAGATGACCTTTTTCTCAGTGCTTGGGTATTGAATCCATTATATTTGTTTTGAAGGAAAGCTGAAAGTAGTAGAGAAGATATGGGTGTTGAAGGAATGCACAAAACTTCAGCACTGTACTGTTGACATCTCTTATTTCCATGAGGAGAAAAAAAGTTAAATTGATTCTTCATGTGACGACATATCCCTGCCCTCTCTATTCTCCATTCCACATGAGGAGGACCTTGTGTTCTATGCCGAGATGTAATATTTTTCTTTTTTGTTTCCAGAAGAACCTAATTTGATAAAAATCAGCTGCATTCACGCATTAGTGATTACATCCAATAGGTAAAACTTTTATGTATAGATGTACTAGGAGTCTTCCCCATTCTGGTAGTAGAAAGGTTATCACTAAGCAGGTCTCACTGGATTACATGGCTGCCAAAGGTTGAACACTTATAAGGTTCCAGATGGAACAGCTCGGCTGTGTCTACACTGGGCCACTTATTCCAGAAAATCAGCCACTTTTCCGGAATAAGCTGCGAGCTGTTTACACTGGCCCTTGAATTTCCGGAAAAGCAACGATGCTCTACTGTACAAAATCAGCCACTATTCTGGAAAAACTATTCTGCTCCCGCTCGGGCATAAGTCCTTATTCTGGAACACTGTTCCGGAAAAGGGCCAGTGTAGACAGCCCAGTAGTCTTTTCCAGAAAAAAGCCCCGATCGCGAAAATGACAATCGGGGCTTTTTTCCGGAAAAGCGCGTTTACATTGGCCACAGATGCTTTTCTGGAAAAAGGGCTTTTCCGGAAAAGCAGCCTGCCAATGTAGACGCTCTTTTTCCGGAAATACTTATAACGAAAACTATTCTGTTTTAAGCATTTCCGGAAATTCATGCCAGTGTAGACACAGCCCTCCAGAGAACTGAGGGACAAGGTAAAACTGAAGTAATTCAGCTGAAAATGCTTAGTGCCTTTAGGGATAATGAACATAGGGGGTTGTTGCACTTCCATTTATAGCTATGTTAAGATGCACTAAGTAGAATTTGGACCATAGTCTTCAGAGCCAAAACTTCCATACTGAGTGCTTGAAGTTAGGCACCTAGCAAGTGGCCTGACTTTCAGAGATGCTGTGCATAAGAAGAAATTCAATCTTTGGGCCATATCCCACATTTCTAGCATACTGAAAGCTCTTACTGGATTAAGCCATTAATAAAATTAAATATACAGAGATCTATAATGAAACTAGTAATGTTAGGACACTGAATGCATAAAATGTTTCTAATGAACACCCTAATTTTCAATTTTAGAATCAGAAGCTGGTCAGGAGGAATACTGTTTTTGCCAAGATGAAAAAATATAATTTATTAAACCACAAAAGGACATTTTCAGATAATGTCAGGAAAGGGACTTGAACTCTAATTAGGAAGGAAAATAATCATTACATAACACTGAGGTATTGCAGGCAATCTGATCCTCTTATCAAAGGCAGAATTCAAACTGATGTTATACATTATCTGGGTTGCAGTGCCAAGAGGGTAAGTTTAGGAAAGAATTTCCTGGGTTTGGAAAGCTTACACCAACCCATTAGAAAGTTCTTTTAATTTTTTTTGTGGTTTAATTTCTCTCTCCCAGCCCTCTTGGTAAACTACAAAAGGAAATAAATTGCCTCAAAGAAGATATCACATGGCCCAATTTGTAAACAGTCAACATATTTAAGGAGTTTGAAAGCCAGTATTATTGACCCAATAGTAATTTTCATTCTACTACATATTTGCAGAGCATTGTGAAAAGCATGTTTTGGAGTTTAGACTGCTTAAACATAGTAGGTCAGAGAATGTAAAAACAATTATTAAAACTAACTAAGCTACATTTAGTAATCACAAGTAAGAAATAATACATATAAGCCAAGAGAGCCAGAAGCAATGAATATCCAGCTTTCTTCTCATTCCTTAGGAAAAGCAAAGTGATTTTTATATTTACAAAAATAATATTTTTGCCCCTGAATGGAGGCTCTCAATTGCCAGATTTCAGCCTACCCTACTTACAAATAGGCATTTACCATTGAAGTTGTTCCAGATTCAGTAAAAGGGGGTTGACATACATCTATTGATCTAGGAATTAAAACTGTAGTGGGTCCTTTTATAAAAATATATCCTTGCAATATAATATATTTTAGGACAACAATTTACTGTGTGGCAAAAGAAAGGTTTTGTTTTTTTTTTAATTTAAATTGACTGACCTATATTTCCTTTAACTATTATCTGTATACACCATAAGCTCTGGAAGTTGTGAAAATCAGATATTCTGATTTTCCAACATGTCACCACGCAAACTGTCTGATGTGTTTTAAATATCAATTTTCAGCTGTGACTGGATCTAATTAAAATATATTTTGCTGGATACATTTACAGTAGGTTTAGTTTAGGGCAATTATGGACTGAAAATCCCGTATTTCATGATGCCCGCCCCCCTTCCTACTCGATGACAGAAATAAGTTTTCATTAACTTTATTTTCACTAGCAGAGATTTTTTTTGCGTGTGTGTGTGTGTGCGCTCTGTTTTTTGTTCTGGCTCTGACACAGTCATTTGGACTGGAAGAGATGTATGACCCTGTTATGCTTTTCTGGCCTTCTGAGACCGACAGTGTGCCAGGAGTCTATAAAGGGTTAGTGCCAGCACTACTCCAGCCTACGCTATGCAATCTAGAAGGCAAAGAGAAAATCTTTAAAAAGTATAAGCCAATCTTTTATGAGACATAAGAAATAGTAACTGCTTTACAGTGTGCACATGAAATTAATGCTAAACAATAATTGAGTGTATCTCCTCATCTCCCTTTCTGCAGTCTTTTATGTTAATGCACTCAGCAATAAGGTATACTTGGAACAAAGCAGAGTGTAAGGGGCTTGCTCCAACAGACTTCCCACTATCCCAGTTGTGAGCAGAATCTATCTGCAGTAAATTCCTTAAAAGCACTGCATGTTCCTAAGTTGGCACACAATGGCTTGGAAACTGGTATTAAAGGTTTCAATCTCTACTGACAGTGCTAGTAAAAGAGCCATAGACTTTCAGGTAGGGAGAGGGCTCTCTATGAAAGAAAAGTCTGACATAAATGAACCATTACAACGCCATTCATATCACTCTGATATTCCCTGGTGTGTTTGGCCAGTATATTGGCCTTTTAAGGCACTTAACTGGTGACTCAGCCTGGAACAGTAAAGATAAGCATGACCTGAACCAGGACTATAGTACAAATATTGAAGGTTCTTGAGACAGTGGAAGATGCTACAATAGTGATTAGTTGGAGACTTGCGTAAGCTAGGAAATGTATCAGATTTGAATTAAATGGGATCCTCAGCAGCAAGAACACTCAGAATTATAAATAATCAATAACATTTTAAAATTAAGGTGAAAATTCAACATACTTAATGTACAATAAAAAGAATAAGTGGTTATTAGAAGTTTCTTTTAAAAATTAATAATATTTCATGCTCCTTATACAGCGTCACCTTTCATCAAAGGCTTTCAAAGTGCTTAGCAAAAATCCCTGTCATCAAGTCATTTTGAAGATGATGGAATTGAGTGAGGCATAGACAAGTTAAGTTACTTGCAAAAAGTTACTGAGTGACTTCTTGACTCGAGGGAAGAATTGAGAACCTAAATCTTCTGACTACCCTTCTCTTGCTCTAACCATTAGATAGCAATGCCTTCTTGACATACTCTCAGATTATAAGATATTATATTTTAGAAATAATTCTCAATACTCGACAGTAGAGAGAGGCTGCACCAAACTATGATTGAAATTCCCTCCAACTTTGAAGAAAAATGTATTTCCAATTTTAAACTTTGCTCATTGGATCATTTTCTAACAGTTAATGACCTGTCACATTATAAATGGACATTTCTAAAATCATGGATACTTTTTGCTATATTATAAAGCCTCTTAAATATTACGCCAAAAGCAATTTCTAGTAATTGTTTCAAGGTTGACACCTAAATTTAAGCATCAACCAAATTTCCTTATACTTGTAATTTTGCTTGTGATAAAAGTTTGTGTACTAGTTCTTCAGTTATAATCTTTAGAATCCATGTATGCTGTAAATGGGAATGAACTTTAGTCAGGGGAACCATAGAATGAAATGCAAATAGGACAAAGCTCTGTGCCATGAAGTCTCTTGGCAGATGTGGTACATACCATAATCTTCAGGTTTAAATAGCCTCACTGCCCTGAAATATGATGAACTTCCAGTCAATGTTTGGCAATTGATGAGTTACTGATGCTGCATCACTCATGTAAATGCAGCTGTGCTTGATTGCAGTCAGAATTATTGTTTTAAAATAATGGAGCAGAACAGCAAAGAAAGTTGTTGTGGTTTTGCATTTTTTTTAGCTGCTCCAGTGCTTCTCTTTTTCTGCTTGAGACTTCACTTCATTGACAGTCATACTAATGGGATCTTCCTTGCTTCTATTTAAATCAAAAGGAACAGTTCTTCTCATAAATGCTGGAAAGGAAAGAAAAAAGGAATGTGAGGGAACAATCAACCATCTGCCTAGAAATACTATCAGTAATTAATCACTTCAGCGAGCTAGTAGTATATATAGATTTGCTAGTGGCAACAACCATAAGTCTGACATTGGTCAATTTAGCTGAATTATATTGTATTACAGCGATTTCACTGTTGTGCTGTTCTTCACAGGCAGAATTTGTATGTGCTTGCCCAATATACTATTACAGGCAAAAGCTATGTTAAATACAATATTTTGGTTACAAATTTAAAACTTTAAAATAAAAAAAATGCAAGTGATGATGGTGGTCGTACAGCAACATATTATGGTATATATTTATCAACATAAAAAATGAGTGGTCTTGTGGTACCTTAGAGACTAACCAAAATAAATATATAGAATCATGAACTTTCATCTGGGTTGAAACTGGAGTGGAAATATCAGAAACCAAGTTTTTTATACACACACACACACACACACACACACACACACACACACACACACTCTAACTGGAGTTACCTGGCACTGCTGGGGATGGGCGGTGGGGTCCTGCTGGGGGTTCCCTGTGTGAGGGGCGGGTGGGAGGCGGCAAGCACGGGACCTAGGGTGGGCAGGGCGGCCCAGCTTGTGCCCGAGGCTGCAGGTGCCACGGGGCCACGCTGGGGGCTCCCCCCTCCCGCGGGCCATGCCGAGCAGGTGCTGGGCTCCCCGCCACACAACCAGGAAGCTGCGCCAACCCCAGGCTGCTTCCAGTGCCACCGCCATCTCCCTGCTGGGCTCACTCCACTGCTCCCGCAACTGCCCCCTAGTGGCAGCTGGGAGCTCCAGCCCGTCGCTTGGCAACCCTCGACCACCGCTGAAGGGGAGGGGCCCAAGCTGAGTGACATCATGGGCAGGAGAGAGGAGGGGGCTCCCTCGCTCTGGAGGTGCCTACGCAGTGGAATGGCCTGGTAGAGGCGAGCGGGGTAGCTGCTGCTCAGAGCGCCGCTCCTCCCCTTGCACCTCTGCCGCCAGCCTTAGTGAGTGACTGTCCCCGCCGCTTCCCCCGGGAAGTCACTTTTCCCTGCACTGCCTAAAGTACCTTAAAGCCTTCTCCCAAAGGAAAGGTTACCCCATGCAAAGTTTGGTTGCGGTAGCTCTTATAGTGCCCAAGTTATTAGCGCACAAACATAGAAACACTCTCCTTTATATATTTTTAATATATATATATACACACACACACACACACACAAACACCTCCTCCCTCAGAAGTAGTATCCATCAGTTATATGACCCATGTTAATGAGGATAATTAAGTGGTCTAGATATATCCCACACCTAGCTTTTTATGTGGAAATGCAAATGTTAATGGCAGGAAAAATTGGCTTTGTGATGTGCCAACCAATTAATGTCTTTGTTTAGGCCCAGGATAAGGTGTCAAATCTGAAGATAAATTCCAGTTCTGCAGACTTTCTCTGTAATTGGTTAGTGAAATTCCTTTATAGAGGAATGACTACTTTTAAATACATGATTGAGTGCCTAGGCAGGTTGAAATGTTCCCCTATGGGTTTACGTGTGTTACCATTTCTAATGTCTGATTTGTGTCGATTTATCCTTTGTCGTAGAGCCTTGTTTCTTAAACTATGTTCTGTGGAGAACTCACAGGTGTGCCGTGGCCGTCTGAAGAAAAAAACCGGCCGTGAGAGCTTCTGAGACACAGCGGGTGGTGTGAAGAAGTGAGCGAATGGTGACGTGGCTAGAAATGAGGCGGGGCTACCCGCGTTCCTCCTCCTGTGCTTCTGCGCAAAGGGCGGAAGAGGCGAGCAAGAGATGATGCGGCAGGAAATGAGACGGGGCTACCTGTGTTCCTCATGTGCTTCTGCGCCCAGCTTGCAATCGCCTGGGAAAGCTCCGTGCCTTGGTTGCACCCCTTGCCAGAGGGGAGGAATGTTGCAGGGCCAGCAGCAGGGCCGGCTCTGATTGGCTGTCTCTGCTGCTGGTCTGGGGATCCTGTCTGCCAGGGGAGAGAACTGCCCTAAAGCTGCCACCCTGACTGGGTCTCTGCACCGCTGTCTTTAGCCCTTGCTTGTTACCCAGGACAGCTGAGGGGGGTCAGCACCTTCCACCCTCTAGCACAGACAAGGCCCTTCCCTTCAGTATTCTGTGTCAAAAATAACAGAGCCAGGGGCTAGAACTACTGAAGGACAAAACATTAAGCAGTAAGGGACGCACTGTGAATTGGGTGGGCGTGGTAAGGCCCTCAGTGCCCCTAATGCTGGCGTGGCTGCTATGGCTGCTGTCAGTCAGCTACTTGACATTAACCCATGCCTGATCAGGTATTGAATTTATAAGTTACACCAATATGAATAAACAGAGTAAATTACATTTTCCTATCAAAAAGGCAGAAGTCTAGAAGGCTTCATAGGGCAGTGAGTGAATATTGTTATCATCAGTAAAAGTGTCGTCTGGTGTTTAAGGGGCAAGCTTTTTTGGGGGAGGGGCCTCAACAAAAAATCCTTGGTGTTCCTCATAAAAAAAAATTATTGTTTGGTGTTCCTGGGTCTTAAAAAGTTTAAGAAACACTGTCGTAGAGACTGTCCAGATTGGCCAATATACAGGGCAGAGGGGCATTGCTGGCACTTGACGGCATAGATCACATTAACATGGGCCCTACAATTGACAGGCACTTCTTCATCTGATGCATATTTATCTTGTTTTATGTTATTTCCACTTCAATTCACCTGATGAAGTGGGTTTTGCCCACGAAAACTCATGATTCTATATATTTATATTGGTTAGTATCTAAGGTGTCACAGGACCACTCATTGTTTTTGAAGTTGCAGACTAACACGGTTACCCCTCTGAGATTATTTATGAACACAGAGTAATATAAGTGCTTTATTGGTCAAGAAAAACAGACTTTTAAAGTCTATCTACAATTAACCTGTCTGAGTGAGCTATTGTTACACAGAGGAAGCCTTAAATTCTACTTTACTTGACATTTAAGAATTGTAATTATACACCATTATGTTATATTTACACTTTGGATTAAATTTTGTAGTTTTTTTAATAAGTGAAAAAAAAAAACAGAACTCCACCCCCCCCCCCCAAATATGCTTTTCAGTGGAATATCCTTCAGGCGCAAATTGTTTTGGGCCCTGTGTTTTTATGACACCAGATTAATACATATGCACTTTAGATGTGTATGTGTAATTTTTTTAAATCCATGGTTCTGGGTACTTCCACAAACTTAGTTTGAATGCATTATATGGCACAAAGCCCTTAAATAAATATGAACTAGATGCAGCAGCTTATAATCATCCATTGTAAAAAAAGAACACTAATTGGTGGAAAGGACTTTATGAGAGGTAGAAGCACCAAGTTATGAATCAGACATTAGGCTTCTATTTCTATAAAATGCCATTCTTGTACTGTTCACACGTGCATCATGAAATGTCAGATATCTGGGCCTTTCTGGCAATTTGTTATACATATGCATAGTATCCTTTTTACCAATAACTTAGCAGCTCCCAGAGGGAGCAAAATCACTATTTTGACTCCTTAGCCCTTATTAAAACCTCAAATTATAATTTTCTGCACCAAAGAAAGTGGAATTATCTTAAGAATGATATAGTGTTAGCTTTCTAAGTGTGAAACCATCATTTGCCACAAGTTTCCTTTCTGAATGTGCACTTTTTACTTTTTGACACCCAAGTAAATCTGGAAAATTTCCACAGACCATATTCGAGAAACACAGTCTAGTAATCTGAGCACACGACTGAAGACAAGAACTCTTGAATTCTAAATCTGACTGCTACTGGAGCTGGTCATAACTTAATTGCTACTTAGTACACATCAAATAATGGGGATAACACTACTTACCTCGCAGCAAGGTTATGAGGCTTTGTTGTTTGTATGACTTTACAGGTGAAAAGTAATAGATAAATATGCCACAATGCATTCACTTTGTTAGCAAAAGAGTAACAAATATATGCTGTGACTCCTGTTGCAGAATATAAAATTCAGAGGCCCCATAGTGCTAAGCAATCCAAAAGAGTAATTCTATTTTTGAAAACCTAAGGGCTGTTCTGGATAGAAACACAGCCACCTTTTAGTGTGAGGCTGTGACAGATTGATGGGAAATACAAACAGGACATTTTCCACTAATTATTCAGTCATGGTACTATTTATTTCCTAAACATTTACACTGCTCATCTCTAGAGCCCTGCAAATCCACAGATATCTGTGGCTACCCACATCCACAGATGTGCATGTGGATATCCGAGTCTCATTTTTGCGGACGCGGATACAAATGTTGGATCTAGAATCTTACAAATTTGTGGAGATCTGCTTTATATCACTGGGTATCCGCATCTGAGGACATGAATGCAGATATCCACAGCTCATTTTTGTGGATACAGATGTGGATGCAGATATTATAGCTCTATTCATCTCCCAAGGAAACTAGAAATGCCTCATTCAGAATGCAATTTTTTTTGCGAAATAAAGAGAAAAGCTATTACAGAGAGCCTGCTGGTAAAATTAAACACATTTTTCCAATGTCATTTTTGCAGCTGTGAGGGAAAAATAAAAAGATAACACCTGTGAAGATCCTCCCATAAGATCTAAGAACATAAAACAGCTACACTGGGTCATACCAATGGTCCATGTATCCCAGTAATTTGTCTTCTGACTGTTCAATGCCAGGTGCTTCAGAGGGAATGAACAGAACAGACAATCATTAAGTGATCCATCCCTTGTTGTGCAATGAGAAGCCAGGGCAGGGGTCTCAAATTCAATTTATTTTAGGGACAGTGCCAGTCCTCAAATCCTCCTTGTGGGCTTGTAGGCACCCCCACATCTGGCAGGACTTTGGGGTGTACGTGTCTCTGTGCATTCACTCCCTTCCTGGGCACATCTCCTGGCCCTGCCTGCTTTCCCCAGGCAATTAAAAACCTGCTGGGAGCCACCACTAGCAGCGCAACAGAGCTAAAGTGGCTTCTGGCTACTAGCTCCA